CCCATATTTGTATTGTTGTTGCGTTTATCGTGTTGCACATAAGAGCTGCCATGTGGGCTGCTCATAAGCGTTGTACTGCCGTCTGGTCCACTGGTCACGGTGTAATACTGTGGTGTAGAGCTGCCACTGTAGCCACCACTATTGCTGCCGCCATTCGAGTTCAAAATAGGCGGTGTGGAGAAGAGTGGCGGATTGCGCTGTGCTGTTTGATTAGGTACAGAGTGTGGCGTGCTGGGCGCCGATTGTGAAGCGCTTCCGCCACCACCGCCGCTGTACACTGGCGTTACATTATTCGTGCTGCTTGCACCGCTCGGTGTTGCATGCGAGATGGCCGTGAGCGTGCTAGGATCGACAATCGGTATGGCAGCCGGCCCGGGCGTATGCACGGTGCTGCCATGTGAGGGATGTGTGGCAGCTGTCATGGGCGGGTGATGAGCATAGAATGGGGTGATCACAGCATTTGTTTGTTGTGCATGAGCCGCTGTGCCAGTCAATCCGGTGGCAGCTAATTGTGCTGCCGCCGTTGGTGGAGCGCCAGGTGTGTGCACTTGTGGTGTGCCAGCGGCAATGCCTGCAGCTGCTCCTGCGGCAGCGGCGGCGGGCGCATATGGAAATATATTCGCATGCAGGAGCGCCGCATGTTGAGGCAACGTATACATGGTTGTGGCTGGAGCTGCTCCGCTGCCAATGCTGAGATCAGTTGATGTATTCACAGCTGCTGCTGCCGCAGCGGCGGCGGCTGCTGCTGCTGCTGCTGCACCACCCGGTGCATGCGCCAATGTAAGTGTGGGTACTGCGTGTCCTAATTGATATGTGGTAGTTGCATTGCCGTTGCTGGGGATAGCTGCCGTAACCAGTTGATGGCCGCTGTTTTGGTGGCTGGCGTAATGCGAGGAAGTCGGCCGCTTAACACGCCCCGTACCAAAGTACGTCGTACCGCTATGCGTCTGATAGCTGTTTGTGGATGCAGATGCACCAACACCGTGATTTCCACTTGTATGAATGCCGCCAAGATGGCTACTGCTACTGCCTAATGACCCTACGGTGGTGTTCGACGACGGTCCAGCCGCCGGTGTGGCTGCAACAAGGCCATTCGCGATATTTATACCGCTAGTGATGTGTGGTCCGGCCACAGATTGGGCGGTTGCTGTTGTAGGGGGTTGTGGCTGTGGCGGTGCTGGTAAGAGCGGAGTGGCTGTAACTGCATTGGTGAGCGCTTGTTGTGGCACATAGTAGGTCATCGGTTG